TTTCTAAGTTTACTTTTGAAAGCTTAGCACTTAGTTAAATTAACATAGTCTTTTAACTACATTTTATTTAGCATCCACTCATTTACTCTAGATTGGAATTTCATAATTCACTTTTGTATTTTAAATTTTAGTTTACATTATAATCATAATAATTTACCTATAAAAATTTCTAACTTTCCCGTGGGATCGATATACAGGACTCCATTAAAGCCTTTATTATTGGAGCGATACATGTAATTGTGTTATTTTTAGGGGATTTGACAGTTTAAAGATTTTTGAAAAGATTAAACGATTTTCACTAAAGTTATTTTTGTTGGGATTAAATTGCATAATTACTATCTTATCTGCCATGCTCACAACGACCCATGCACCCCGTGTGGGTGATCGAACCCACACGCCTAGGCACCACTAAAACCTAGGGCTAGCTAGAAGTTAGAAAATCTCACCACCGTGACGGTTGCAGCCACATTCTCTTTATGCTGAAGAAGAGCCCAGGTTTCCAGCAAACCCTGACGGTGCTCTGACCTGCGCAACAACATACCTCAAAAAAATATATAGAACAATGGAAAGAGCCAATAAGGTCAAGAAGTATGTGAAGTATACAAATTAAACATCGCAACATATGAAAATGAGGTTGAAACATATACCTTAGAGAGGATTAATGCGGTCATTGCTTCGGTGTGTGAATGGTGTCGATCTTATGGGAGGAGATCATAAGAACTCCAAGAGCCATGACATCGTCTCATGAAAAGCCCCATGCCCTTCCATTCATCTACCTCCATGGACTAAAAAAAAAAGCAATGTCGAAGGAGGAGAAAAAAAATGGGATTTTTGACCTCTATGTGTGGCAAACCAAAAGGAGGCCGAGAAGGGTGGAAACCAGGCTCACCAACGTGTGGAAGTAGCGCATGAGACTAGGGAGAGGCCGCAAGGCTCATCGGTGGCATCGCCGGACGAGAAGGAGCTTGTGCATTAGAAGGTTATGTTGGCGTGCCCTGGTCGCAAGGAGAGAATCTTGGCTAAAGGGAAGAAGAGGAGAGGGCTCACTGTATGAGGAGATGAGGCTGAAGCCAGTGGTCGCCAACAAGGACCGCTGGCCTATGAATTTGGAGCAGAGATGGGAGTCGGCTAGGGTTTTACGAATGGGAGCGGTCGGTCGATGGAATTTGTGAAAATGAAAGGGACGGTTAGGGCACGATTCGTAATCCGGAGAAGAGTTGAATGCGTGAGTTTTTAAAAGGAATTTTTCTTTCCTTTTTTATTTTTATTTTTTTATTATAATAATAACATTATTATTTTTTCAAAATTTCCTCAATTCGCGCACCTTTCACGCATACACGAACCCCAACAATATGGGTGTCCTTACCGGGTAAAATTGATGTTTGAAAGGCATTGGAGCTCTCTGTTTTGTCATCCGGGGTCATCTTGACAACTTTGTGGTGATCAGGCCAATTTGAGCCAACTTCGTGCACGATGCGGTGAATAGTATTTGTCGACCCGATGGGAGTCGTCCAGCTCGTGAAATGTCGACTGGTCTTCACCTGGGCAAAAGCCATAGGCTAGTAGAATGCTCTTGACTACGTGCCCCTCAACATGCGCCGAAAGGTCTCAAGCGTGTGTCTGAATTATTGGATGATACAGATGGGTCATAGACTATCTAGTGTCATGCAGGTGGACACCCTACACTCGTGACATCAAAAAAATGGATGCCAACAATCCTATGATCTCAGGTTGGTTGAGCATCTTCAAAATGAGCATCAGCGGTAGCTCAAAAATTGTGTCTTGCTCTCCATCCTTTACCTTTGGTGGGCCTTTTCTGTAGCTGTTGGGTGGAGGACTCTAACTTCTAAGTGGTAGGATTAGGTTATAATCCTTAGACAATATGTGGTTGCTACCTAGTTATAATAATTTTGCTAACATATTTGATCAATGCTAGAATAACACATATTTAAAGCCACCTTCCTTCAATTTTTTTGCTAGGGAAACATGGGCAACCATGGGTTTCAAGTTTTGCACTTCCAACATCTCATTTTAGAAGTGAGTGAAGAATGAGTGTAGACTATCGCTCTATCCTTGACGAATCTGTAGAAGTGCCTATGAGTTTATCTATGACTTTTGGTAAATTGTGCTATGAACATATGTTTGGAGTCAACTAATAACGTGATAACTCTCAATGACAATCTCTTGAACAACCTGAGGGTTGATTTCCTTGGCACATTAAAGAAGAGAAAATATTTTAGATATTTGATGAACCTTAATAGGCACATAATCAACTCATATGAGGCTACATGCTTGGTCATACTGTTCTACTCCATATAGGACTCCAGTGTCAAAATCTTGAATTCTTCTATGGTATAGCCTCAGAGATTTACCACAAGATCGCATTCTCGGGCTAATAGAGCTCCTTGATACTCCCAAACTGATGTTGATCAATTTGTGTTGAAATAGCACTATCAAAGTACTATTAGTCACCTTCTTCTTCCAAAGCTGAATGGAATGTTCTACTGTTGGGTGTCTACCGTTCATCTCAGTGCTACTGATTTCTACCCTAAGTCAGCATGCCTCTAATGACATCCAAAAAGTAATCATTCATCTAGTGAATCTGTTGGGCCAAAAATTTTGTAGTGCACTCGATGTTGTCAGTGTCATTGTTATGGGTTTCTTCTCCTTAGATTACTCTTTTTCTTGTTTGTGGCATGATCTACGCTCACCGCATCTTTTAGGATATTAAATCTTAATTTGTCCATGAATCACTTCAAGAAATAGAGCATAAATAAGGAGAAATAGAGACATAGAATGAGAGGGAGAGATAGAGAGGCAAATTAAATCTAATTTATTGTACCTTATTCATAAAACCATTCTCGTATTTATAAAGAAAAGGGTACATTAATGATATTATTTTTTTTTCCTTATAATAAAGAGGTTTGTACCATGTTATTTCTGATATTTTATATATATAGATCTATCGTCTGGCTGCTTTCTGGCCAGTTAGGTTTAGTTTGCTTCAGGTTGACATGATCAGTTTAGTCAAATAAGCATGGTCGTATAGATCAGCTGACCGATATGGTCCGGTTGTCGATCCTTAATCCCTGATGTGTCACTTCTAAAGCATCCATGGGATGGTTTGAGATACTGAAAAATTTAATCCTCTTATGGATCGACTCTACAAGGAGGTAGACAATCAAATTGACTTTTCTATAGTGGTTGGTTGGATGCGCTTTTTTTCTCATTTTTGACTGAATGGATTGGGTTGGAATTATCGGGTCGTCTCTAGGTTGGTTTTGGCCATTTTGGCTTAGCTCGTATGGTTTTACTCGACCGATTAAGTGGACCTCCTCTCCATATTCTAGCAGTTTATAATACTCACTTATGAACTGTTGGATCTCTATAAGATCATCACTGACACTTTTTATGTAAATAATTAACAAATTTCAGAATTGTATTAATGTTAGAGTGTTAAGTACCAAACTAATAAATAATTTAGATGTAGATTAATTAAGTCGCAATTATGAGTCTGTTAGGGGCAGCTGTTGGTTATTTATAATCTGCTGATAAACAGATTATTCTGATAATCTGATAAACTGTAGATTATCAGAATAAGGTGGCTTTCTGTTTGGGGCAACTTATTTAGAACAGCCTAGTAGCAGGTGTTGTCGGATAAATGACCATTCTACCCCTGTTTGGTTAAGCTGTTTGCAATAGAACTGTATGAGCACAGAAATAGATAAAACAGAACCTGCAAATCATTACAGATCAGTTCAAAAAGAAAGAGCTATCATAAAAAAAAATATTCCGAACAAAGAGTTCAAGATCCGAAACATGATGCAATCCCTATGCAGGCTAAAAAATATTAAGAACCATTTAAGGCGGAAATGAAACAAATAACCATAACCTAAAAATAAAAAGAACTTGGACAAGAGATAGATTATTGTTTGTGAGAAGCTTGTAGCCTTAAGGGGTTAATGTTCATCCTCGGTATATGGATGAAAGAAGAAATGAAAATCCATTAAAAAATTTGAATCCAGAACGGCAAAAATGCTAAGAGTGTGGGAGAGTTTCGAACGAAACAACGAAGCAGAACAACAAGATCGACGACTTCCGGGTCCTGTGAGTTTCGCTCGAAACAAAAATGGAACAACGAAGCAGTTCGAGTAGGGGGAGCTTCGAACGAAAAGCCGGTCTTCGAGCCGCGATCCTCCTTCGAGTTCGGTGAGCTTCGCGCGAAACATCAAAGCGGAAGGGCAGAGGGGATCAGGACGGGTAATCATGAGAGAAGGGCAGAGGGGATCCGAAAGCCGACGGGATCAATGACGAGAGCATCCGGGTAATAATCTCGAACAAGAAGCAGAAAGCAGGATGAGATGTGCGACCTCAAATAATGAAGGATCCGCGTCCAGCGATTTCCTACCTTGTACTAAAGCGCGAAACAAACTCTCGGTCGGCGTTTTTAAAGCGCCGACCGCACTATTAAGTTGCCCTAAACATGCACGAAATGATTGATATTTTAATATTTTAATATTTATTAATTATATTGTAATTAGACTTATGTGCAATTGATATAGTGTAATTAATTTGCTAATTAGTAATTGATTATCAAACATTCAAATTTTGAGTAAAAGGCTTCTTAATTTATCAAATAGAAATTAAATTTTGTCATAATAATAAAATAAATAAAATTTAATCAACTTTGTGTGTTCTAACTAATCCAAGGCTTAAATTGTAGAAGAATTATAAAATAATTTCATAATATTTTATTAAATTTATTGTCAAATATTTTTTTAAAAAAAAATTATTAATTTTAAACTTATAAAATTTATTAAATCTTAATATATTGACCTAAAAAGATTTGAGTATTACTTTATTAAAATTAAATGAAAATAAGATATCTCATAGGATTCACAATGAAAAAAAATAATAATAATAATTTAGCCAATCCTATTTAGTAAGACAAGTACATGTTGCTATTATTGTAATAAATCCTAATATCTTGAATTCTTGAAGATGCCTTAGCTTCTCAAATACAACTAAAATTTCCCATCCTTCGTTCGGCATTTGGAAAAGTAAGAAGACATGTGCTCTCTCGAGAAGCGCGGCAGAGTCTTCATCCTAACCCTCACCGGCGACGGAGAGCACCGCCTCTCCCCCGATGCCATCGCCTCCATACGCAACGCCCTCTCCCGTGCCAAGTCGGAGTCCTCCGCCGCCGGTGGGCGCGGATTCGCTCTCGTGACGACCGCTGAAGGCCGGTTCTTCTCCAATGGTTTCGATCTCGCTTGGGCCAGATCCGGTGGATCCACTTCCAGCGCTCGATCCCGTCTCCAATCCATGGTCACCCTTTTCCGTCCGCTAGTCGCCGATCTCCTTTCGCTTCCGATGCCGACTATCGCTGCCGTCACCGGCCACGCCGCTGCTGCCGGTTTCATGCTTGCGATAAGCCATGACTATGTGGAGATGAGGGGAGATAGAGGCATTCTATACATGAGCGAGATTGATATCGGTATGCCTTTTCCTCCTTATTTCTTGGCTCTTATGAGATCGAAGATTTCCGATCACAAGGTTCTCCGTGAGATCGTGCTTGAGGGGAAGAAGATGGGCGCGGCGGATGCTGTGGCAAAGAGGATTATAGATGGGGCTCACGGCGGTGAGAAGGAGACTTTAGAGGCGGCTGTTCGGCGGGCGGAGGAGCTTGCGTCGAGAAATTGGATCGGGGATGTTTATGTTTCGATTCGGAAAGGGTTGTTGCCGGAGATTAGTTCTTCCGTAGGGTTTTCGCCGGAGACTGATGAAGATAGGAATAAGCTGCTGTCGGAGTCGAAGCTGTAGAGCAGAGGAATAATTATAAGGTAATTTAAACAGTTCTGTCGTCTCTCTTTGGTTTGAAGATGTAATGATAAGAACTAATTAAAGAGTTCTGTCATCTTTACTTGAGCTGCCGTGTGTAGGGCTGTAATCGAGCAATTCCAGTACGTCATGGATTAGATTTGGCTTAGTTTTTTGTTCAGTTCGAATTTTAGCCAAAAATTTAACAAGGGTTCATAGTTGAATTGCTTTTATGCTGAACTCAAAACATCACAATTTACATATATCACACCTAAACTTATATATTTACATAAAACGCGCTTAAATATCTGTATTGAGCACAGAAATAGCACTATGTTGTTCTCCATTACTTTCTCCTTTAATTCTTGCGTAGGGGAGGATAAGGGCGTGCAGATGGAGAAATATTTCCGTACGTTTAAGGTACGTAGAGCTGTTACAGGGAGGGTATTGGAGGATTATATCCGTACTATACCTCTTGTAATCTCTCTGTAACTTACCTGTAGCTTACAAATATAGAAAAACAGAAGCGCGAAACTTACTAGTTACAGGTAGGTTACATGGGTTATAAAGCGGATATAACCCTCTAATACCCTCTCTATAACCTACCGACGTACGCGGCTCTGCATACGTTAGATGCACGCAAATATTTCTCATGTGCAGATAGGAGGAAGACGACAATCTAAATAGCTTTTTGATTAGATTCCCTTCACAACCATTCTCTTTGAAACAACACTTTTTTTTTCCTCGTCAGAGTTGGTGTGAAGTCTGTAATCGTTCAAACGAGCATAATGAAATGGATGGCAGCGCATTCGATATGAAAACTCGTGATTCTCCTAAATACGATGGGTGATCATGATCAAACTTGATGAATTCCGCGGACCAAAAAATAAAAAATAAATAAAAAATAATGTTTGAGATCATGAGATACTTAGCATTAGCATCCATTAGTTTAAAAAAAAAAAAATAGGTAGGTTGAATAGTGATTAAGCTTGAATAGTGATTAAGCTCTTAAATGAAGTAGAGATAGCACCTTTTCTTTCTCCCAATGTTGTTTTTTCTTCTTATGTTGCTTGTAGTGTGTTACGATTGTGTAAAGAAGTTATGGATTGAAAGGGAGGTTATTTTTCTCCTTTATATGGAAGAAGGATGAGAGAACGAGTTAATACAGGGGAATGCGGTCTATAGAGTACGTGTCATTTGCAGTGCTTCGAATTGTCTCATGCACAAAGAGTGTGTTTAGGGTGGCTGCAACTTATTAAAAAGCAGCAACTACGCCAGGAAGCTGCTGCGTAAAAAGTGTTGCAAAGAAGCTGATTGTCTATTTGTTTTTTACAGTTTTGTAGCAATTTCTCTACAGTATAGTACTATTTATAACAAAAGCAATCCTACTAGTACTTTTCTTACTTCACAATAAATATTCAGTTTAAATGTTATAAAATAAAAATCGACACCTCACAAAACAGTGGATAACACAACAATTAAAATTAAAAATAGGACTATTAAAATTCCAATTAATAATATCATAATATTATTTTTAAAATGTTGTTGGTTAAAATCACGAGATAATTCTTCTTGCAACGAAACTCTCCATGTCTTATCACTGTTAACAGTGGAATCCTTGAACCGTTCTACCCACTTAAATAAGTCATAGTTCACCGTTCTCTTCCTTGGACACTTATAAAACTGTCTCTCATAGCTATCTGACTTTCGCAAAGTAAGCATGAAATATTGTAGCCCACAGTAGCAGTACAATGCACTGGAAGTAATGGAAGTCTTCGAGCTCAGCTTTTCTGAAGGTTTAAAATCACAAAACACAAACTCTTAGACGCAACATTAATAATGAAAAATAGTAGAAATACTCAATTCAAGTTTTTAAAACTATGAGGTCTCAGAGAACAAAGTATAAACCAACAAATCTATCAATACAAGAAAACAATAGACCATTAAAAAAATGTTTATGGTTGCCTTTAAACGACGTAATATCGAACTCCTATGTTTCATACATGCATATCACTAAACAATGTCATCTAGAAGAACCACATAAGTCATATGACTGAAAAAAGAGAGAAACTTGGTTGCTTTCATTGAAATTTCACACGTATCAATAACTAATAACAACATATAGACAATCCAGAAGAACTCATAAGGTCAAATATGTCATCATAGATATCTAAAATGAAAAAAATGCAATAAAAGTTACATTACATATTGTACCTAAGGTTGCCTCCCAGACCATCCAAGTGAGAAAAAAGACATGCAAAAGAATTGGAAGTAAAAGTTTCTCTTCATTGAGATTTAAAATCTATACTGTTGTATAAACCATCAATACAATAAACAATAAACAATAAACATTTTCACAATAAATTGCAAATAAAGTAACAACAAAAAACTTACAATTGCTTCATTTAATCGTCATGTCATATGTAATTCTCTCTCTTAACTTTATCATCTGCCCTGCAATTTCCCCGTCCTAGGTGCAAGTCTCGGGCAAATCACTTTCATCTTGTGATAAAGATTATCCTAGACGATATTCATATGCTTCAGCAAGGACATATAAATGATCTTAGTCTGACATATTGAAGTCAATGTCACTACGTGAAGGATGATGTCGAATATAGTTGTGGAGAGTCATTGTGAAGACCATAATATGCATTTGTTTGCGAAACAAATGTCGGCATATCCTACAACATGACTCATTTTTTATTCCGAACTCTAAATATTCTTATAATAGTACCGCGTAAGGATGAATGTCTCCTGTTAAACATATATTTTCTACCACAAGCAATATTGCTAGCTCTTTCAAAATCATGAATATAGTACCTAGTATCGAGAAATGGTTTAAGAAACCATCTTTGTAATGGATATCCATTATCAAGCAAATAAAATATTTGACATAAATAAAATAATTACTATTGTAGTAAAAGTACAATTTCATTTATTCGGACTCCAAAAAACTTGGGCGTGGTTGCGGAAAATTGTATTTCATTATTATTATGAAGAATTTGAATATGCGACTGTCGTCTACTCTACATTTCCATCCTAACACAACAAAAATGAAGCACATGTTAAAGTCATATACAATAATGAAATTTTGTGTTGGTGAACCACATTGCTCGTTGAATGAGATCTTTTTACTGTTCGATACATGTACATCCATATGTGCTCAATCAATTGCTACAATATAATCTAGAAGCATTTGACAAAGGTAATGGAATTACAGTGCTCATTTGAATTCAAGAAAGTATGGATGTATTAATTTACCTTAAAATATGACATATGACATTGGTTTTGTGAGATCTCTAAGGGGTCCTTTGGAAGGTTGAGTCTTCGAGTTTAATAATTTGTAATGATAAACTGACCTGAGTATTCAACCCAACTAAAAAAAATACCTATTGGTTGCCTCTGAAGAATGTTAGACTCGCTCCATGGCTCCTCTAATAAATTTGACTTCTAATGAAAGTAACACCTTTTTTCTTTTTCTGAACCTTATGAAGCTTAGATCGACTTAGTAGATTCAACTTAATTGTGATCAAGGTTGGGGCCTTTATTGAAACCAATAATTAGATCGACATCTACATGCTTAGTTATGTCAGCGAACCCTTTCGCTAAATGTCCTTGCATGATCGCTCGTGGGAACGACTTCACTAAACATACAATCCAATTTTTCTTAAGGCTCAGGGTCAATACCGCTAAATTTCAATATTTTAACATTTTGAACGATGTATAAATTAATAGATTATTCTCCTGTTGATGTAATTGAACATATAAATAATTGTTAAGGAACTTCACATTTCATAAATTATCATCTCCTATCGCTTGGCCCACCAATCTTCTGAAGTATCGATGGTTCTCTTTATTGGTCTCAACCCGAGCCTGTGGATTCTCGCTTTAATGCTTTCCATATTTTCCAGTCATTTTTAATTGATCTCACTTATTGCTCAATTGCATCATATCATATTCCCTTCTTATGCTCTCCATGAACTTCTTTATAATATTTTTTCATCCCTCGTTAAAATAGGTGGTTGACGTATTTCCTAATTCCACCTCTTTAAGATAGAGGTCCTAAAATATTATTATCATATCTTTATCCCACATGACACATGAATCAATTTTTTTTTTTTGTCATTGCCATGATGATACTAGCTAGAAAAAGGACCAAAAAACATAAACATATAGCACAAAAAAAAGTGTCATTTAATGTACCATAACTCAAAAAGGTAACTGAAAGGGAACATTGCAACAAACCACGAACATCACCACCACCAAAAAGTCATAAAAAAAACCTCTGACATACACACACACCACCACCACCACGTCACCAAAAGCTCACCACAAACAGCCAAACACACCGCCATTACCGCTAGCAACACCACCATAAAGGCAAAGAAAAACCACTATCAATATCATCGTCAACAACACCACACCATAGCACAACATTACTACCAACACGACGACCAACATTGCATGAAGAAACAATCACCAATAACACCACTACACACATCTCCAAGAACACTACCACCACCATATGACCAAAATACTGCCACCGGTATCCACACACAACCCACCATGTCACCACCACCATATCACCAAAAAAAAACTATCACAAGTACCCACACACAACCAACATCGCCACCAATAGCTGCTAACACCATGGCACAATATTACCACCCCCACATCCACACACACCACCAACATCACCACCACCCTGACACAACATCATCACCAACAACACAAATGCCATAGCATAACACCATCACCAACATGGCATAAAACCACCACCATCATGGCACAATATTACTACCAATAGCACCACAACCATGGCACAAAAACATCACCCACACTACCAACAACACCACCACAATGACACAAAAGCATCACCCACACCACCATTACAAATATCACCACCAACATGACACAACATCACCACCAACTGTATCACCATTATTACACAACATCATTACCAACAACACCACCAGAGTGGCACAAAAGCATCACCCACACCACCACCAACACCAACATGGTGGCACAAAAGCATCACCTACAGCACCACGACAAATACCACTACTTAACACCAACAAAAACCAACTGATGATTAGACAAACAAGTTTGCTCCATTTGAACTAAAAATATAATATGGGAAGAGCTCCGATTGAGCAAGCTGCACCAGGC